TGTGTGTGTGTGTGTGTGTGTGTGTGTGTGTGTGTGTGTGTGTGTGTGTGTGTGTGTGTGTGTGCATGTGTGTGTATGTATGTGTGTAGAAGAGCGTTCTCCTGTGTGTGTGTATGTTTGTGAGCACTTGCACGCAGTTCACACACACACACACACAAACACACACATAACTCCCCTCTTCTCCTCCTCCTCGTCTTCTTCTTCCTCGTCCTCCTGCTCCTAATCCTTCTCTTCTTCCTCGTCTTTCTCCCCCTCCTTCTCGTCCTTCCCTGTCCTCCTCCTCCTCCCATCCACGTTGCTCCCCCCATTGCCGCCGCTGGCCCTGACGCCACCGCCATTGCCACTGGCCCCAACGCCACCGCCGCTGCCCCCAAAGCCGCCGCCGCTGCACCCATGCAGTGGCCTATGCTGCTCCGCCGCTGCAAGTGTTCTTTTTTTTTTTTTCTTTTTTGTATTTTCTTTTCCTTGCATCTACTAGCCAATTCAATCATTGACAATCGATCGGTGACTGTCGATCAATCAATCAATCAATCAATCAATCAATCAATCAATCAATCAATCAATCAATAATCAATCAATCAATAATCAATAATCAATAATCAATAATCAATCAATCCATTAATCAATACACACACACACACATACGTTGTTGTTTTTTTGTTGCCAAAACTGCGTGTTCCCCCGGTGGCTTCTGACACGCGCAACCCGGTGGGGGGGCACGCGTTCAGTTTTCTCCCAGCGTATGCCACGTGGCGTTATTGAACGCGTTTGAACGCGCACATGCATGCTATGAACGCACGCGTTTGAACGTGAACGCGCGTCAAACGCGTTCAAACGGTTACATAACAATAACTCATTTACTAGGAGGATATTATCATGGATGCGCCTCGCCTTAAGGAAGCCCGCTTGTGAGGGGTGGATGATTTGCTGTAATGCCGGCGCCATACGGTTTGCTAATGCTTTAGATAACATTTTGTAGACCACGGTTAGCAATGTGATCGGTCGGTAGTTGCGGATTGTCGGGGGTTCAGCCTCCTTCCGAGTCAGTACAACTCCGATGAAACAATCTATCATCAGTTTTATTGTCTGTCTGCCCACCCGCCTCCCCCATGCCCTCCAGCCTTTGCTCTCTGTTGTGTCCCCTGCCCTTTTCCTCACTGTTGTTCGTCTGCCGTTCTTCTGGACTCAACCTTTCTCTCTCCGACTCAATTGTCAGGCTGAGCTTGGTCCATCTGCACGATGCATTCTCGTTTGAGTGCCATGCTCTTGTTCTGCCGCCTCTAGCGTTGCGATGTGTTGTGGTTTGGGAAAGGCCGTCTGGTGTGAAGCTTGGTCGTTGGGGTTATGTTTTAATTATTTACCACATGCTATTGGGTGTCCATGGCTGACGTACGAATGGTCTCGACCTGGGGACCTGTCGTTGTTTCCTTTTCTCTTTCTTTTTCTTTTTCTTCCTTCTTCTTTTGTTTCTTCTCTTTTCATCATTGAACGTGTTGACGGTCCTAATCAGATTTGATGAGGGGATCTGGGTTCTGGGTGGAACTTAGACGCGGCGGCGAACCTGATGAGGATGTCGACTATGGATTTTTCGCTTGGTACTTTCTGTATCTGTTCAGTGTTTCTAGGTTGATTCGAACCTACTCCTCTGAAGTTGGTCAGGTGGCCCTTCGTGTTGATGATTTCTGAACTTGGTAGGTAGGATTTGGCACGACTTGGTTTTTAGAAGTGGGCCCTCGGGTTATAGAGGCTTTTGTCGACCTAATGGGACTGGCAGGAATTGGGAAGGAACTTAGTAGTAGTATACTAACGGGTCCTCTCTGTATATAGTTTTCCTATGGTCGTCGGAGTTATCTCCGCCGTGACTCAAGACTCCTGACGATTCCGGGTCTGGCGACCGGATGAAACTAGTGGGGTCAGCTGCCAGTGTGCTTGACATGGATTTTGACGACTACGGGCACAACGCCCATTTTCCGTTTGAGCCTTGACGGCGTTCGGTTTTGCTGACTTTCATAATGAAGCCATCGTCGCGTTTGGGAGTTAAAAATCTGGCGTGTCTCACATGATGAGTGTGATTTAGTCGTCTGTGTGATGCATGCATGTGGATTTTGCTCTCCGTACTGCCTTATGTTCATTGCCCACTATGTCTCGTTTCTCCTCTCATATCGAATTGCATAACGGTTTTGCGATCATGTCAAATTGATGAATGGTTGTATCAACCACCATCATGGCTGAGTGGGTGTGTAGAGTGGGTTTTATGACTGTGTCAGATTAGTTTCTCAGACTTACTGCCGTTCTTGTCAGGGGTTCGGACCGACAGTCTGCTAGGATTGCAGGGTTGGTGTGAGTAAAGTCAACCACTTTTCACATGGATAACTCTGGGTGATGTGGTGAGTCCTTATCTTTCAGTCAAATGCATCCTTAGCAGACTGTCCGGGTTCAACCTAAGGCTTCTGATAAGTAGGTGAGAGTCCGACGAAACAGTCTGGTGCAGTCATGCTCTTTTCGAGTTTATAGCGAATATGACAACACACAATGTAATACAGAGGGAGCAAAAGTGAGGGAAGAATATGAAAAGAGCGACAGAAGTGGTGAAGGTCACAGGCAGGCATCCTTCTCTCTCTCTCTCTCTCTCTCTCTCTCTCTCTCTCTCTC